TACCCCCATGTGGATGTTGGTTCCTGGCCAGTTGAACTTTGGATTGTAGTTGACCTACCAATGGTATGCTCCTTGTCCTACCCCCACATGGATATTGGTTCCTGGTTAGTTGAGCTTTGGATTGTAGTTGACCTACCAATGGTATGCTCCTTGTCCTACCCCCACGTGGATGTCGGTTCCTGGCCAGTTGAGCTTTGGATGCAGTTGACTTGCCATGTACAGTCCATTGTGCCCTAGCCACTTTACACCTTGGGATACATCCCTTATTTTACCCTCACTCTGTTCATCAGGGAGATTGAAATTATAATATATTGTGGTTAGGATCACTGTCCAAGTGTTTTCTCTCCCATCAGGGTGTGTTTCTCACAATTTTCTGCCTGGATCTGTCACACCTTTTCCACATGTGGGCAAAGAGTATACCTGGTACAGAAGTGGTGCAGTATCTCACATATAACCTTCTTATTAGAGGGTTCCCTTGTTTGGGCATCCTTCAAATGTATTCAAAAGATGCTTCTAATTTCTCCCTCACACTGTTCCCTCCACTTATTCATTGTGGAATTCTAACCATGTATGTGAACGGAAGTAAGGTACCTTGTCAGACGTTATAATTTTCCTACACTGAAAATATATTTCTGACAGGTACTTACTTCCACTCACACTTCCCATCCTTCCTTCCCACTGTCAACTGGTGCTTACATTTCTGCTTAAACTGGAAGTGATAGCTAGGTAGAATAGGATAGAGGGAGTCACATGAGTCATGTAGGTGTGTGGCACTACCATTAGTGGAGGTTTTTCACATAATAATTTTCATGTGTGAATCAGTTAAACCATGGGAATTGAGGGGTGTGTAGGAGTGAAGGCTTGTGGCATGTGAACATTTTTTTTTGAAAATAGAGGGCAGCACCAAACGAGAGTAGCTATGTATGTGAATTTTCAGTGTAAGAAAATTATAACTTTCACATATATAATACATGTAATTATAAATCTAAGTAATTAAAGTTAGGAAAGAGATTGAAACTTGTATTAATTAACTATTGGTTTTAACTACAGTTACTGTTTACATGTATGTAATGTCATCTTGTGGTTTTAAATAATTATTTTCTTCACCAAGATTATATTCTTGTAATACATTTATTACTTTTACCTTTACATTTTCGATAATGTGACTGCATGTCAGAAGATAAACAAAAAACACATTTTGTTATTTTCAAATACATTAACAGTTTTGTTCCATTAAGACTGGGCTTGTGTTCTGTAGGTGTCTGTCTGTTGATAAAGCCGTAAGGTGAAACATTGAGGAAATTAAAAAATTTCATTTGGTACTGGCTGTTTCCCTTCACAAAACATGTTTACACTCCGGTGTGCACTATGATGATATATTACATATATTATATATTAGAAGTATTATATTACATATTTTGATGACTTAAACTTCCAATGTGTTTAGCTAGCTGGAAGCTGCCATTAACAGTGTGTTTAGCTAGATAGGTATGGAGGAGTATATGGTTAATGTATACTAGTGACACTCACTTCAATTTTCTTTACAGGTGAACTGTACCAAGAAGCAGCAGAGGCTGCCATGGCAGCCATGAAGGGTCGACTTGCCAACAAATTCTACATGTTGTCTGAAGAAGTGTGGGGTGAAATTGAGGAATAGTTGGTTAATGAAAAGAGGCTGCTCTAGCGAACAACTTTTAGGGTTGGCTGAAGAATACTTGACATAGTAGAGCTGAAGAACAGGTGCTGTTTTGTCAGTATATGTTTATTTTGTCCTTAGCTTTTTTCATATTGTTTATAACTTGATCCTGGTTCTTTTAACAAAAGTTTTTTTTTCATCTGGGGAGAAGGAAGCAAGGACCTCAATTTTTCATTTTTGGATTGAAAGTGATTGAGTAATTAGAAAGATGAAACAAAGTTCAAGTTGGACTTAAGAACAGAAGGCACATAAAGAAACACACATGTTGTAGTAAATGTGTTATAAAAATCACTGAATGATAACAGAAAGCTTTCTTTACCACTGGAATAGTCTGCTTCAATGAAGATAAAGGAAGTATGCAGAAGGTAACATTTGCAGTAAGATGATATTTTTGGAGAGTTACTAAGATGTCTTGAAATGGTTTTATAATTAAGACCGTAATGGAAAACCATCTGTGATGATTTTGTGAAATTTAGTTAGGCTTCACACATGAACAACATGGGAATATTTGAGCAAGAATTGTTCTTATCAAGCTGTTTTATGAAAGTGGAACAATGAGCTTATTACCATGTGTGATACTTGAAGGTAATAAGAAACACCTACCCTGTTACTGAGTAACTCTCTTCTTGTGAAGTTGATATCAGAATAACTTTTAAATTTGTTTGTGTAGAATACATAGCTAACCAGTAGTAAATAAAGTTTAACACCAATAAAAGTGTCATTAAGTATTCTACAATTCAAATGAAAGAAAGTGTGAGGATAAAAATATGTAAGCTTATATTCATTTTTAGAATTTTAACAAAGCATGCTGGTATGTTTTTTCGAAATAAATATTTTCACCTTGTTATAGATGAAATATTAAATGCCCTTTTATTATAAATACGGTAACAAAACCAAGATCATTCTATTTTGAAAATAGTAATATTTTTATTGATCAGCTGATAAATGTTTTAACATCAGAACTTTTTAGGATTTTCATAGTTTTACTGGTTTTGATTGTCAAGATTAAAGGGTTAATGTAATTTAAAGTATACTTTTTTCCAACGAATTCTGTGCTCAACTTCTATTTTGAATTATATAGTATGCTGTGAATTGTGTTGTGCATAAAATTTCTGTAGAAAATATAGAAAGTTTGTTGTAAGCTCGACATTAAGATGTATTTTAAGACCTCAAACTGCTGATGGAGAAGGTAAGGTTTTTCTTTGCTACTGTTTGTTAGATTTTACTTCTGTTATTTGTTAGATGTTTTAGTGTTTAAATTCAATATTTGATGTAAGAATTAAACATAGCACCTGTGCCAAGTTTTACACATGCATGAGACTTCTTTAAAAAATAATTTAAAATATAATATGCCATTTTTTAATTTGTAAATTAAATTAGTTAAATCCAGGACAGAAAGCCAAAGATTATAATATTTTTTTTGTTATACGGAGGAGTTTTTGTATGTATATATTCACTTTATGAGTAGACAGATATATTAGACTTTGTTGAGTTCTCTGTATTTATGTAGTGTACAATTTTATTTAATGTGATATGGTTCCAGTCACATAGAGTTAGGTTTTACTTGTACATTTTTGTTAAATGATGTGGACAAGTTGGACACTGTATTGTTTTCCTGATTATTTTTTTGTAGTGTTGTATGTAACAAGTAGATGTTTTGAAATTTTAAGGCAGAAATACAATCTGATGATTTAAAGCTGTAAGTTCCTGTATAGGTTTAAGGTTGTCTTTTGTTTTTATTATACAGTTGTACTTAATAGTATTAACCTGTTGCACTCTCCTTATTGTGTGTTTTTTTTGACTTGGAAAACCTTTCCTTTTGACTTTAGAGATCTTTGTGTAACAAAAGCTACTTTTATTCTTTCCTTTTGAAAAAATAAAAGTAGCTTTATTACACAAGGTCCTCTAAAGTCAAAAGGAAAGAATAAAAGTAGCTTTTGTAACACAAGGTCCTCTAAAGTCTTTTGACTTTAGAGGACCTTGTGTAACAAAAGCTACTTTTATTCTTTCGACTTTAGAGGACCTTGTATAACAAAAGCTACTTTTACTTATTTTTTGTGACTTTAGAGGACCTTGTGTAACAAAAGCTACTTTTATTCTTTCCTTTCAACTTTAGGGGACCTTGTGTTACAAAAACTACTTCTATTCTTTCCTTTTGACTTGTATACATTTTTGGAAAAAAAATCTGAATGAACTTTATGTAATTAGATATTACATGTGTCTTAATTTTGGAGAATCTTGTGTAATTAAAGTTACTTGATTGTTTCTGTGGAATAATGTTTTTTCAGACAAAAGAGTGAACAGTTTAAACACATTCAGCATATGTATCAAGTTATTTTATTATTTACTAACAGTTGCCATCATTTCTGACCTATATGCTGATGTGGTAAAGTAAATACTACATTAATATAATTTTCTTAGGTATTAGTATTTATAATTCAGGTTTTAGGATTAATTATAAGCTTTCGTGTTTGTATTCTGTCAGGCTTTAAGATTAATTATAAGCTGTAGTGTTTGTATTCTGTCAGGCTTTAAGATTAATTATAAGCTGTAGTGTTTGTATTCTGTTAGGTTTTATGATTAATCATAAGCTGTCGTGTTTGTATTCTGTCAGGCTTTAAGATTAATCATAAGCTGTAGTGTTTGTGTTCTGTCAGGTTTTAGGATTAATTATAAGCTGTAGTGTTTGTATTCTGTCAGGCTTTAAAATTAATTATAAGCTGTCATGTTTGTATTCTGTCAGGCTTTAAGATTAATCATAAGCTGTAGTGTTTGTACTCTCTCAGGTTTTAGGATTAATCATAAGCTGAGAAATGAACTTGTGGATTTGTTTGTTTTATATAAAACTTTACTCATATCAAATAACACAATTTATTGCAATTAAATATGTACAACTTTAACAAATTTAACTTATTCCCACTAAACTTTTACATTAGTAGCAACTATATAATGGCAAAAGTTAATCCTAAAACCTGACAGAATACAAACACTACAGCTTATAATTAATCCTAAAGCCTGTCCTAATACAAACACTACAGCTTATAATTAATTTTAAAGCCTGACAGAACACAAACACTACCGTATGAGACCATCCACACCCAGATTACCTGTCAATCAAACCCAGGTCTTCACGTTCATGTTTACTTAAAGCTAATCGCTAATTTACAGAGGAGAACAAACTGCCAAAAAGACAGTATTTTTCAAAGTATTTCACAGAGAATACTTGTGTTATTTATTTGATTTCATAATTCAGCTGTATTATTGGTTATTGGTACCTCAGTCCAGCTGAAAATTCTAAACATTGTTGGATGTTGGTACCTCCATCCAGCTGGAAAATGTAAACATTGTTGGATGATGGTACCTCCATCCAGCTAGAAAATATAAACATTGTTGGATGATAGTACCTCCATCCAGCTGGAAGGTGTAAACATTGTTGGATGTTGGTACCTCCTTCCAGCTGGAAAATGTAAACATTGTTGGATGATGGTACCTCCATCCAGCTAGAAGGTGTAAACATTGTTGGATGTTGGTACCTCCATCCAGCTAGAAAATGTAAACATTGTTGGATGATGGTACCTCCATCCAGC